ATATACATCTGGGAATCATCTTTATAGAAAGGATAATTGAACCCATGGGAGCTGTTGAGATCAGCAAGTGAGAAAGTATATAGAGAGAACTTCTCACAGCACACAGTAGTACCTTTTCTTCAGGGTTGGAGCCTGCTACCTTGGCCCTGTAGGATCCTTGATTCTGTAAATTTCATCCATCCTTTGAAGCCAGGGTACTTTGCCATTTGCACATACTCCATCCCTATAGCCAGATATTAAAGAAGGAAGGCAGGGAATCACTCCAGTTGGTGGGTTAGATCAACTTAATATCATCATTTCATAGGATTTGAGATTGGGAAAATGACTTTAAAGTTCATCTAGTCCATACTGTACCTGAAGCATAAATACCTTCTACAATTCCTAATGAGTCATTCATTAAATACAATACTAACAGCGATAGAGAATTTAATCACCTCACAAGGTAACATTCCATTTTCAGACAACTTTTTATTGCTAGAAAATTCTTCCTTTTCTTGAGCCTGGCTTATTATCTGAATTATAGAGTGATTCATTTTTACCCCTTATTGCTACACATGCTAAGGCACACTTTAAATACATTTTTAGCAATGAGTTAGATTGGATCTGATTTTTGTAGTGATTTCTAAAGGTTGCATGCAGAGCAGTGTAAAGAGCCATCCTTGCATCAAGAAGACCTACATTTATACGCTGACTTTGATATCTACTAGCCTTCTGCCCTTGGTCAAGTCACTGAATATGTCTGCCCTCAGGCACAATCTCCAAGATTATAAATGTCAGAAAAAGTGCCTGTCTGTATTGGGAGTGGGAGTTTCTTTATTGGCAGTTCCCTACTCTAATGAAATCACAGATTTGCTCAAAAAAAAATTTACTAAAGGAAAGAAGAGTCTTGCCAGAATCCTCGTTGAACCCCTGACCATTAGGAGGAGACTGAGTTAGGAGGAAAAAGGAAATATTTCTACACTCCTCTCCAAAACAAATATTGTTTGGGAGAAGCCATCTGGGCTGTCAAGATCTCCTGGTTTTGTAAGGTATCCCTAGAGTGTGGGTGGAATGCCATCACAAAGTAGCTTCCTTGCCCATCCTGTTAGGAAGCACTTACCTAATTTTAGGAATAGGGGTTGAGTACTTTTTCTCACTGGTAGAAGAGAGAGTGTTGTTCTTGAGGAAAGCCAAGGAGTAATGATGTCATTCATTGCTGTTTTAAAACAAGTAGGCCGTTGCGATCTGGGTTATATTCTGTGCAGCAATTTCCCAGGGAGAGCCTTACTCCTCGTGAATGAGTTAGAGGTTTTAGGAGAGTGACAGCTCAGTCCTTTTGGCTCCTACCTGGTAAGCTGAAGAAGTGCTTGAAAAATTGTTACCTAGTGGCAGAGGGTGTCAACCCGCTCTCTCGTCATTAAGGAAGCAGTTCTTTTGCGGTCAGGATGAGTAGCACTCGCTAATTCCCTGGGGAGTAGTATATTTACTAGGAATTTTTATTTGTCCAATTTAGTCAAGCAAAGGAGCATTTATTAAGACATAGATGAAATAGATCATGATCTTAGGGAGCATAGGGCAACTATGTTATGCAGTGGATAGAGTGCTGGGCCTATTGTCAAGAAGACTCATACTCCCAAGTTCAAATCTGGCCTCAGACACTTAGCTGTTTGACCCTGGGCAAGTCACTTTACCCTGTTTGCCTCAGTTTCCTCATCTGTAAAATGAACTGGAGAAGGAAATAGTGAACCACTCCAATATCTTTGCCAAGAAAACCCCAAATGGGGTCATGAAGAGTCAGACACAACTGATAATGACTGAACATTAGGGAGCATACATTTTATAGATGGGAAACAGCACATACACACACAAGCATATGTAAAATAAATATGGGTAATTGATTGCATGGGGGGAGGGGAAGATACTGAAGCTGGGGAGATCAGGAAAGGTAGGGTGTAGCATTTAAGCTCAGCTTGGAAAGGAACTGAGAAGTAAGGAACAAATGCATCCCAGGCATGTGTGACAACTATGTAAGGGTAATGGGAGATTGTATGTGAAAAACAGCAAGGTCAGCTTGACTGGACCATAGAGAGCATGAAGGGGAGCCATCCTTAGAAAGGCTTGAAAGTGGTTGGAGCCAAAGGGCTCTAAATTAGCCAGAATCATTTGTATTGGATCCTAGAGGGTCACAGGGAGCTCCAAGAATCTGCTGAGCAGAGGAGCAATGTGATCAGACTTGTGTTGCAGGAATATCACTTTGCCTACTACTTGGAGGTTGGATTGGACAGGTGGGAGAGTGGAGGCAGGGAGACCAATTAATTAGGAGGCTATTGCATAGTCCAGGTTAAAGATAATGAAAGCCCCAAATAGGATAGTGGCTGTGTGAATAAAGAGATAACATGGAGGCAGAATCAGCAATAATTAGCAATTGCTTGGATCTGCTGAGTGAGTCAAGAATGATTTCAAGGTTGGAAACCTGGGTGACTGGAGGATAGTGGCATTCCTTGAGAGAAATGAAAGATTTTGTTTTTTGGGCAAAGATGAATTGTGTTTTAGACGTATTTAGTGTGAGATGCCTCCAGGGCATCTAGTTTGAAGTCTGGTAGATAGTTGGTGTTTTGATAATGGAGCTCAGGAGAGAAACATATAAAGATGTGAAAGGTATCTGCATAGAAATGATCATAGAACCTGTGGGAGCCTATGAGGTCACTCAGGATGGAGTGTTGGAAAACACCAACAGATAGGGGAATGAATGATCATGCAGCTAAGGAGACTGAAGAGTCAGAGAAGTAGGAGACCATTAAAAACCCAAAGAGGAAAAAGTAATCAAGAGTGAGTCGTCAGCAGTGTCAGATGTTTCAGAGAGGTCAAGAAGAATGAGAATTGAGAAGAGACTATTGAATTTGACCATTGGGATCTTTGCCAAAAGTCAGATTTTGAGGGGCTGAGAAGTCATTGAGAGGGAAGAAATGAAAGCAGTGAGTGTTAACAGCTTTTTCTTGGCTATAAAAGGGAAGATGGCTATAGGATGGTTTCGTTTTTGGTTTTGGTTTTGATTTTGGCTTTTGGTTGCTTTTTTTTTTTTTTTAAAAGGATGAGAGAGACCTGGGCATCAGATAGTGAGTCAGTAGATAGTGAGAGACTGAAGATTAGAATGAGAGAGGGAGAGACTGTTGGGGCAATCCCTGGGTCAAAAGGAAGAGATCAAGTAAAGAGGGTGGCCTTGAGGAGGAGGAATAAAGGAGGAAAAAATGGGGAATGATATAGATTAGGGGAGAAGAGGGAGCTCGCAAATGGCCTTGATTTTTCTTCGTAAGAAAGGAGGTGGTCTTCTACTGAATGGGTACAAGAGGCTTATGGAAGAACAAGAAGTTATGGAATGGCAGCTATGGGGAGGAAAATGTGATAGTGAATCGATTAAGAATAAAAGATTTGCTTGCTTCAGTAAGAGCTCAGTTGAGACTAGATACTATAAATTTATACTGGATCCAGTTAGTCTGATTTCATGAGTTCCTGAGGAAAGAGATAGTGGGAGTAATGCAGGACTGTTGTTGTTTAGTGGTTTTTTTCAGTTGTGTCCGACTCTTTGTGACCCCATTTGGGGTTTTCTTGGCAAAGATACTGTGGTGGTTTGCCATTTCCTTCTCCAGCCCATTTGACAGATGAGGAAACTAAGACAAACAGGGTGAAGTGACTTAGCCAGGGTCATAAAGTTAGTTAAGTATCTGAGGCCGGCTTTGAACTCAGAAAGACGAATCTTCTTGATTTCAGACTGGAACTCTATCTACTGAGCCACCTAGATGCCCCAGGGCTAGGGTTTGGCAAGACAGAAGCCTTGACAAGAAGGCAAAAGGTTCAGGAGGAGAGAAAAGTGCTATGTCGGCCTAAATGGGTCAAGTTTTGGAAACAAAGAAAGGGAATTCAGGGAGTGATAGGTAGACTAGATGAGTACTTGCAAAATAAGCAAAATCATACAAAAAACCCCCACAAATACTCTTAAACAATATTGTTTTTTAAAAGGACATACTACATTTAATGAAATAATAACAAAAAAGGCCTTATTTCCTTGTGTTCACTTGCAATCTCCCTTCTGCTTGGTTGTGTATATATTTTGTTGTTTTTTAAAAGTATACCTTCTGTTATTTTCTTTGGTATGCATCCCCACATATAAGTATGTATTCCTTTGTAGTCTTCATATTTATCATTTTTGTGGCATATTCATTTACGTTGATATACCATAATTTATTTAGCCAGTCTAATCCCTAATTTCCCCAGTGGGGAATTTTCGATTTCCATTTTTATTTTGATGGTATATAAGAAACCTTTATCAACATTTTCATATCGAGTGATACATTTTTACTTTTTAATAACATCCTTAGAGTTGTAGCCCCAATAATGGTACCCCCGAGTTTTACGATAGGATAACACTTTTAACTCATAATTGTATGTTGCCAGATTGCTTGGGACTTTTTTCTCTCATCTTTCTTAAAACTTGATTTGCCTACCTTTTGATTGTAGCACTCTCTTGCACCCTTTTTTCCTTGTGACCTGTTATATTATTGCCTGTCTCTCCAAAACAAAATAAATAGTTAATGTTAATGACTAGAAATTATATAAAGTTTTAAGGTTTCCTTCAAGGGTTCTTATAGCGACTCTATGAGGTACGTACTATTATTATCCCCATTGTAGAGATGAAGAAACAAAGGACTCATCCTGCTACATGATGAGGAATGGGTTGGCTGGTTGATGAAGGAGAGTGGTATAAGCTTATCATTTCCCAGTAGAATAGAAAACTTGAGGTCCAGGATTGTTTTGTTTTTGTTATTGTGATCCTCCATACTCAGCCCAGTGCCTGACCCTGGGGAGATGTGTAATAGATGCTTATTGGATTGAATTAATTTGAATCTTATTGTGGGTTATTGTTGGGCCCTTGACAAGCATTCTTCTTGGTCCTGATGCTAATCTACTTTCTTCTTCCTGTGTCTTTGTTGTCTGATTAATCCACCCGTGGTAAAATTTTGCAGGAACCAGCTGTTGCACGTTCCCTTGAAGCACTACCAAGTGAACTGCTCTGACTGGCTGCTGAAGGTGATCTGTGGAGTGGTGGCCATCCGCACCGTCTATGCCTCCCATAAACAGGCCAAAGCTTGCCTCATCTCCCGGATCAGCTGTGAGCGAGCTGGTGCCCGGTTTCACATCAGGGGGGTGAATGATGATGGACACGTGTCTAACTTCGTCGAGACAGAGCAGGTAAGTGACTGAACCCGACTTGAGGTGTCCAGTGATTCAATGCTTCTTGAGTAAGAATGGGCATGACTCACTCAAAGGCTTTCTCTGTATCTTGTTACCTGCATGAAGTTCTTTATCTTTTTATTATTATCATTTTTTTATTAATTTATTTTGATTTATCAACCCTCACTTCCATAAGCTTTTGAGTTTTAAATTTTTCTCCCCCTCCCCTCCTCCCTCCCCAAGAAGGTGTGCAATCTGATATAGGCTCTGTATATACATTCCTGTTAAACATATTTTCACATTAGTCATGTTGCAAGGAAGAATTAGAACCAATAGGAGGAACCACCAGAAAGAGGAAACAAAACAAAACAGAAGAAAAAAAATAGCAAATAGTATGCTTTGATCTGCATTCAAACTGCATAGTTCTTTCTTTGGATGTGGATAGCATTTTCCATCATGAGACTTTTGGAGATGTCTTAGATTCTTGCATTGCTGAGAAGGGCTGTCTATCAATGTTAGTCATTGCACAACGTGGCTGTTACTGTGTACAACATTCTCTTGGTTCTGCTTACTTCAGGAGTTTTTTATCTCAATGCTCTCCCCCCTACTCTGCTTTATTCTTCTGTAGTTGACATTCCTTGTGCAGGTCTGGTGCCTGTGTTGTGTATTACTTTTTGGTTAGCTTTCTGGTGCTTCTCTCACTGTGGAGAATGCATCCCTTAGGTACCAAATGTTGTTCCTTCTCCTTTTTTCTTTTCAAGTGTACTTCGTATAGAACTTCCACTTTTGATTCTCAGCAAAGAGTAGTTAGGACTCCTGATGGAAGGAGACAAATGATCCAGTTTGGTTTGGTGCTGTTTTTTGAGCAACAATGGGTAGACCGATACACTGCAGGGGGAAAAAATTCTCTCATTTTTATTCTAGATTGATTTATTTTTTTTTTTTAGCTTCATCTTAGAAGCAAATTATGGAAGTTGGGAGTTGTGGAATCTGGGAGTAAGGGAGCAGTTGGTTTCAGTGCCCATGGAATGGAACCATCTGTTTAATCTTCCATTGATCTTTCTTTTTTTAATTCTGTTCTCATTCCCAGGGATGCTGTTTACAACTCCTGCCTTTAGCTTGAAGTCTGCAGGGTAAATCTTTAGAAGAGAATATAAGACAGTGGTAAATTTAAGACGGAGGAAAGCTCTGATGAAATTCATGGGTGGAATATTGCCACGGATGACAGTATCCAAATACCCTACATTTATTTTGTGCCTGTAGGCGTTTTTGTCAGCTTCTCCCTCTTGTATCTGTGATTGAGCTGCTTCTTATAAGGACTTTGGACAGTGTGAGAACAGGGTCTGTAAAATGGAAAACGATTTGATTAATGCACAAGAAGCCTTGACTTCCTGTCAAGCCCTGACTGCTTGTCTATAGGGCTTCTCTGACCAAGGGATCCTGAACAGATTTTTTGGGGCAGTGAACCCATCAGGGAAGTAGCAGCCATCTTGGAAAATGATATGATCTCAAGAGAAGATGTGTGCTCTCGATTTTAAAATTTACTTTAGAAGCAAAAGAGAGGCAATGTGGCATACTGTGGATAGACAGCTGCTCTTGGAGCCAGGAAGATCTGCATTTATCTTACCTTATTAAATTTGACTTTTATCATATTTGATCCTTGGTTCTAGACAGCAGGATTTAGTTCCTTTCAGGTTGACATCTATCCATTAATTCTTTCAGTCCAGTTGTTCTACCGATTCTGAATGTATCTTATCAGTATTCTCATTCCCCCATATCTCTCCACCATTTCTACAGGGTAAGATGAGGGATTTTATCAAATACATCACTGAAACCCATATTTACTGTGTCTTAGCCCATTCTACCTGGAGAAGTCACACAACTGTACTGACTGCCAATTTATGTTAAGCAGTCTTCCCCGGGCCCTTCTGCTATATGACAATCCTTTTCTTTTTCTCTGACTGATTTCTCACTACACTTCCCACAGGTGCTGTTCCAAATCTCTGCCTTTTTTTTTCTCAAACTTCCTGCGCCACCATTAGCCTCCCTCTCAGCAGAAGACCTTAGCTCCTACTTTAGTGAGAAAATAAAGACCATCTGTCATAAGCTCTCGCTCCCAATTCTGTTCCTCACAACTACTCTAGGTCACCTATTCTCTCTTCCTTTGCTCCACTCTTTTAGCAATAGTTGGCTGTACTTGGATGTAACCTCATGTCCTTTGGGAACTTGCCCCCTTTTTCTTCCTGCTTTCCTCTGTTATCTGACTCTATACCTGCTGCCCATGAATGAGCCCATTTCTCCCCCATTCTTAATCTTCATAGCCTGTATCTCCTTCCTTTCATTGTCAAACTCCTAGGAAATGTCATTTCCATGTGTTTGCTCCTTACCCAGCTTTTCACCTGCTTTCAGTCTGGCTTATGATCCCACCACTTTACCGAAACAGCTGTGTCCATGGTTACCAGTGGTCTGTTAATTGCTAAATCCTATGGCCTTTCAGTCCTCAACCTTTTCGACTTTTCTGCAGTTTTGGGTGCTATTGACCACTCCTTCTCCCAAGCAAGCTATTCTCCCTCACCTTTTGTGATGTAGCTCCCTCCTTGTTATCTTTCTGTCTGACTGCCTGCTCCTTCCATGTTTCAGCCCCTAACCATGGGTCCCTCAAGGCTTTGTCCTGGGCCCTCTTCTCTTTTTTCTCTATTTTTCATTTATTTCATCAACTCCTATTCAGGTATCTGAGCAGAGGGAGGTATATATTTTGAACCAGACTTGGGATTTCATTGTTATAGAGATCTTCTTATAAGAAAACTCCCTCTCCCAATGCAGGTCAGCACCTAAGCTGCAGTCTAGTCTCAGTGAATTGCCCAAGGCACTGGGAGGTTAAGTAATGAATAATTTTATTTTAAAAATAGCTAAAATTTATATGGGGCAGCTAAGTAGTGCAGTAGATAGAATGCCAGGACTGAAGTCAGGAAGACTCATTTTCCTGAGTTCAAATCTGACCTCAGACGCTTTCTAGTTGTGTGACTGTGGGCAAGTCACTTAACTCTGTTTGCCTTGGTTTCCTCATCCATCAAATGAGCTGGAGAAGGAAACGGCAAACCACTCCAGTATCTTTGCCAAGAAAACCCCAAATTGGGGGAGGTCAGAACACAACTGAAAAATGACTGAACAACAACAACATTTATATAGTGCCTACTGTGTGCTAGGCATTGTGTTAAGTGCTTTCCAAACATTTTCTCATTTGATCCTCACAACAGCCCTGGGAGGTAGGTAGGTACTGTCATTATCCCCGTTTTACAGATGTGGAAGTTGAGGCCCAGAAATGACTTGCTCAGGATCATACAGCCAGTAAGTGTCTGAGGTGGAACTCAAGCTAGGCTTTCCTGACTCTGAGGCTGGCTTCTCCATCCATGGTGCCATGCTGCTTCATGAATACCTATTTGTCTACCTCTATTATCTCTCCTGAGATCCAGGCTGTACTGCCTATTAGACATTTCCAACTGGTCATCATATTGGTTAAAGTCCAAAATACATTATCGTCCCTGATTAACTCATCCCTCCTCTAAATTTCCCGATTTCTGTTGAGGATACTATCCTTTATGAGTCAGGTTTGGAACCTTGTTAAGTCATCCTTGACTCTTTCCTCTTCCTCCCCCCATATTTAAGATGTTGCAACGTTTTGTCAATTCTCCCTCCAAAATTTGTCAGTTCTCCCTCTCCATCTGTCTCTTCTTTCACACACTCTATAATTCAGCCAAATAGTTCTACTTTTATTTCCCCAAAGTTCACGTTCCATTCTCTAGTCCTTCATGTTACCCCCAAGTTTGAAATGCACTTTCTGACTTTTAGAATACTTAGCTTCCTTCAACATTCAGCTCGTTTCCCTAGGTGTTAGTGCTTTGAGTCATTTCAAATTATGTATGTTTATCCATATAAGTGCTATATCCCTACTCCATCCCCTCATAAATAGAATGTAAGTTCTTTGAGGGCAAGGACTGGTTTCATTTTGTATTTTTACATCCATTGCCTGACACATAATTAGTACTTAATATGTGGTTATTGAATCAAATTGAATTCTCCTAATCTACCTACCAGTCCAAACCTGTCAAAAAAGGAAATGAAGTTAGTCTGTTATGATCTGTTTTGGATGAAGTTATGCTGGCTCATACTACTGGTGCTTCCCATTCCAGATGCTTACAAACTATTAATAATATCTTTTAGGATTTTTGCCTATTCAATTAGGAATTGAAGCCAAGCTTACAGGACTATAATCTGAAGACTCCATCGTTTTCCCTTTTGGAAAAAAAATTAGGATTTGAGACAAGCAAACTACGTTTGCCCATTCTCAGTCCTGTAGCATCTCTCCCATTCTTCGTACTCTTTCAGTATCTTGGAACAGAGGTGTCAAACTTATATAGCTCACAACACTCAGGCGTAAAGTCCAAACCAGATTAAAATGTAATTGGGAAAAATTTAACAAAATTAATACAAGTTAAATAAAATATAGATAATGTTAATATGTGGTTTTCTAAGTCAATATGCAACCCACAGGCAACCTTAGGTGCAGTTTAGTAGCCCTCATTTCAATTTGAGTTTGACTTGGAATATCAGTTGGTCCAGGCCAGATGGCATGAACTCACTGGGGAGCAGCTAGGTGTGATTTCAATATCTCTCTTCTCTTGCATCTCAATTTTTTCAACCAATCTTGTCTTATGACTAACTTCCCAGTCTAAAGATCATTCTTTTTGGTAGAGAAAAGAAAAATGAAATGAGAGTTGAATAGTTCTACTTTCTTTTGATTGCCTTTTATATCTACCCTGAGAAGCATTTCTAGCCCTTTTTCCATCTTCACCTTACTCCCTACATAGCGATTTAAAAAAAAAAAAATCTCTTTTGTTGTCATTAGTATACTTTAGCTGAATGCTAAGCTAGACAGCATTTCTGACACTATTGTCATGGAATACTTGTATTCATCCTCTTTTACCTGCCTTCCTTTCATCTTTTGCATTGGCTTTTAA